AAAACTATAAGGTTCCGCGCTTTAAAACTTTACATAGACCACCCTTAGAACCCGCTCTACCCGCTCAGCTCTGAAGACTGCTCCGAAAAGATTCCGAGTCACATGCCCGGTATTTCGTACAAAGGCTGCCGCTTTTACGTTACGTAATAGGTTTCCAGAAACGACGAATAACTTATGATTAACATTAATTAACTAAATATATTGCGTTAATGGTGCGGTTAAACGGCTAATGTTAAGCAAATTGTGTGGAATAAGTGTCTACCCAGTCTCCGTTTTGTATCGCAGAAAGTTGCCGACCTTGTTTTCATTTTTGTGGCAACTTTTAGTTGAATGCCACAGTTGCCCCGGTGTAAAACGGTCTGTCAACTAATGCCTTCCAACACAAAAATGTTACAACATCTGACGTTACTCGCTTGTATCATTTAAACCTAGTTGTTTGTTAATTAAAAAATAAAAATAACATATTTCTCTCAAAAATGGATAAAACGGATGAAGATGAATCAAATAAATTTAGTTTATTGGCACTAATCCATCCCAACGAATTGTGTGACAAAACCCTGGTTGAGCATGCCCACATAGCAATACCATAAGGGTCAGTTTCAATCCGAAACATCAGGACATGAGCAATTGTTTCTGGAGCTTCGAATTTCAAAATCGGTGAGTCATTTACTTGTGATGTGATGCATGCGCATATACATAACAAATATACCTAAACAATATTATTATTATAATTTATTGACGTTAGCGTATATACGTATTAGGGTGCATAAAATGATTACGGATCAGTATTGCAAAATCATCAATTAGATCTTGTTTCTTTAAAAGATGTCGGCTCATTGGTTTCTGTAGTGTTGCCTGGTAGTAGAAATAGTTTGACCAGTGGTCTTGTTACCTGTCCCTTTTCGGTCATAAGATCAATTACCCCCACTCGGTTGTCTGAACCTGGGTGCAACTTCACCACTCTTCNATTACCCCCACTCGGTTGTCTGAACCTGGGTGCAACTTCACCAGTCTCCACTCGTTTGGCGGCAGGTTGTCCTCGTTTATGACGACAAGGTCTCCAAGTTCCATGTTCTTTTGAGAGAGCTTCCATTTAGTTCGCTTTTGCATTTCCGTCAGATATTCTGCCTTCCATCTTCTGCAGAAGTGCTGATGCAATGCCTTTAGCTTCTGCCACCTGTTAACTATCGATGCAGGGTTCTCGTTTACATCGATTTCTGGTGGGGCTAATATGTGTCCTCCGATTAAGAAGTGACCTGGATTGAGGGGCTCCAGGTCAGTTGGCTCATTTGAAGCTGGGCTCAGAGGTCGTGAGTTGAGACACGCTTCGATTCTACATAAGAGCGTACTGAGTTCCTCGAAAGTATATTTGCATCCTGAGGCTATCTTTTTAAAGTGAGTTTTGAAACTTTTAACTCCTGACTCCCATAGACCACCCATGTGCGGGCCCGCTGGCGGTATAAAGTGCCAAGACAGTGATTGATGGGTATACTTTCATAGAGCGTTGGTGCGAGCATCAGCTATGAAGGCTTTGAGTTCTGTTTTAAGTGCTCGTGACGCTCCAACAAAGTTTGTCCCGTTGTCTGAATAGACGTTTCTTGGGCACCCTCGTCTGGAAACGAATCTGCTAAAAGCTGCTAGAAAGGAAGCTGTACTTAAGCCGCTTGTGGCCTCCAAATAGATGGCTTTGGTAGAAAAGCAAACAAAAAGACAAACATATCCTTTTGAAATACGGCACCCGCGCCCGCGATAAATTTTTATATTAAAAGGTCCGGTGAAATCCACCCCCGTATTAGTAAACGGACGCGAATAGGTTGTCCGTTCTTGTGGTAGTATCGCCATTAGCTGATTTTGTGAGCGTTTCTTAAAGATCGTGCAGATCTTGCAATTGTAGATGATGGACCTTATCATAGTTTTGACCTTCGGGATCCAATACTGCGTTCGGATGAGACGCAGCATTAGTTGGTTTTCACCGTGGAGTGAGACATCATGGACGAATTGGACAGTCAGACGTGATAACCTGCAATTATAAGGAAGGATGATTGGGTAACGTTCGTTGTATGCCAGATCGAGAGATGCGCCAAGACGAACGCGTGTTCTCAATACACCGTTCTTGTCGATGAAAGGATTTAAGGGCAATATTTCGCTTTTCGCATCGATCGGTCCTCCCGATTTTAATTTCGCGATTTCCAGTCCGTAGTGTTGCTTCTGAGAGATTGTTATTAAGCGGGTTGTCGTTGGCTTAATTTCATCGGCTGAAATTAAGTAAGATTCCGGCTGAATTGAAGCTTTTGTTTTCGGATGAGTTCTTTGAGAGAATATTAACACGTAAGATATTACTCTCAAAGCTCTTGGTAAACTGGAAAATCGGTCAAGAATATCATTTGTGTTATCAGTCGTTGTTGTTGTATGAACGCTCACCCGTTTCTCTTCAATGTTTGTGGTAAAGTCTGTGGCTTGTGTTGGCCATTTTTCTTTATCTTCTTGCAGCCAAGAAGGTCCCTGCCACCACAACGAATTGTTGACCAATTCTTGCACAAGTATGCCTCGGCTCGCCAAGTCTGCGGGATTTGTAGCTGAGTCCACGTGGTGCCAATAAGTTTCCCACTTTGTCGATTATCTTGGTAATACGATAGGCTACAAATGTAGACCACGAACATGGGGGTTTGCGGATCCAGGCCAAAACAATCGTGGAATCGGTCCAAAGGTGCATCTGCAGGTGGCCTAAGTCGAGATTATGGATGACCGATTCGATGATTTCTGCCAGTAATACAGCCCCGCAAAGTTCTAATCGAGGTAGGGAAATTGTTTTTACTGGTGCAACTCTAGTTTTTGCCGTATGCCTTTTCGGATGCATCACAAAATCCATGAATTTCGACGCTCTNTCGGATGAGACGCAGCATTAGTTGGTTTTCACCGTGGAGTGAGACATCATGGACGAATTGGACAGTCAGACGTGATAACCTGCAATTATAAGGAAGGATGATTGGGTAACGTTCGTTGTATGCCAGATCGAGAGATGCGCCAAGACGAACGCGTGTTCTCAATACACCGTTCTTGTCGATGAAAGGATTTAAGGGCAATATTTCGCTTTTCGCATCGATCGGTCCTCCCGATTTTAATTTCGCGATTTCCAGTCCGTAGTGTTGCTTCTGAGAGATTGTTATTAAGCGGGTTGTCGTTGGCTTAATTTCATCGGCTGAAATTAAGTAAGATTCCGGCTGAATTGAAGCTTTTGTTTTCGGATGAGTTCTTTGAGAGAATATTAACACGTAAGATATTACTCTCAAAGCTCTTGGTAAACTGGAAAATCGGTCAAGAATATCATTTGTGTTATCAGTCGTTGTTGTTGTATGAACGCTCACCCGTTTCTCTTCAATGTTTGTGGTAAAGTCTGTGGCTTGTGTTGGCCATTTTTCTTTATCTTCTTGCAGCCAAGAAGGTCCCTGCCACCACAACGAATTGTTGACCAATTCTTGCACAAGTATGCCTCGGCTCGCCAAGTCTGCGGGATTTGTAGCTGAGTCCACGTGGTGCCAATAAGTTTCCCACTTTGTCGATTATCTTGGTAATACGATAGGCTACAAATGTAGACCACGAACATGGGGGTTTGCGGATCCAGGCCAAAACAATCGTGGACTCGGTCCAAGGGTGCATCTGCAGGTGGCCTAAGTCGNGGGGGTTTGCGGATCCAGGCCAAAACAATCGTGGAATCGGTCCAAAGGTGCATCTGCAGGTGGCCTAAGTCGAGATTATGGATGACCGATTCGATGATTTCTGCCAGTAATACAGCCCCGCAAAGTTCTAATCGAGGTAGGGAAATTGTTTTTACTGGTGCAACTCTAGTTTTTGCCGTATGCCTTTTCGGATGCATCACAAAATCCATGAATTTCGACGCTCTGTTGGCGAGAATTCTACCCATCGAGGAATACGTATGTTGTTGATTTCGTTGTAGTTTTTCGTGAAAGTCTGCCACCTGTCTAATGTTCTTCGATATACGTTCTCATCCCAGTCCGTACCCTCTAACCAGATGTTTTGCATTAGTATCTTCGCAACAACAATTATCGGTGCTAGCCATCCAAGTGGATCAAAAAGATTGGTGATATCAGAAAGTATCGATATCTTTGTGAAACTCTCGGGGTTTCGATAGGCTTGGCTATAAAATAGAACTGATCAGAGTGAGCGTTCCATCTTATACCAAGCGCTTTCACACTGCTAGTGTCCTCGAACTCCAAAAAGTCTTCACTCAACAGATGTGATTTTGAAATGCCTTGTAGTATTTGGCTGCAGTTCGAAGTCCATTTTCGCAGAGGAAAACCGGCTGATTGTAAAACAGTGATGACTTCGTCTCTAGCTCGTATCGCAGAGTCGATGGTGTGTCCGCCAGCGAGAACATCATCGACATACATGTGTTTGTGCAAAATATTCGAGGCTATCGGATGAGAGCTTTCAGAATCTTCAGCTAATTGCAGCAATGTCCTCATTGCAATATAAAGAGCACAATTCACGCCGAAAGTCACAGTCTTTAGTTCATAAAGGCTGATGGGATCGTTCGGGCAAGGTCGGAAAACTATCCATTGGTATTTGGTCTGATTGGAATCTAACAGAATTTGTCTATACTTCTTCTCAATATCGCTATTGAAAACGTATTTGAAAAGTCTCCAGCGAAGAATGAATATTGTCAGGTCAGACTGAAGCACGGGTCCTGGCACAAGAACATCGTTCAGACTGACACCATTCGCTGTTGGAGAAGACGCATTGAAAACTACACGCACCTCTGTTGACGTGCTCTCTGCTTTTATCACAGAATGATGAGGTAGATAATAGTTGTCTACGAAATCTGCTGACTGAATTGAATTTACTTTCGACATGTGGCCCATGGATTCATATTCCATGATTACTCTATTATACTCCTTTTGCAACTCAGGATTTTTCTCTAACCGTTTTTCGTTTTTGTAAAACTGGGAAAAGGCTATTTTCAGTGAAGACCCTAATGTGACTTAAGATGGGAAATCGTCTTTAAATGGAAGAGACACGATGTATCTTCTATCTTGGTTCCGCATTGTCGTTCGTTTGTAGAGCTCCTCGCATTGCTTTTCCTCCGCTGTTATTATCCTGTCTCTCGGGATGTCTTCTAACTCCCAGAAAGGGCTGAGTTGTTTATCCAGGGCCACTTCATTGAAGAACGATACGCGATTAGTAGTTGGATTGTCTGAGTCTGCCCGACCCGTCAGTGGCCAACCGAATACTATCTCTTGAGCTAATAGCGTACTTAGAACATTCTTTCGAATACCGCCTAAAATTATTTGGGGATAGATGTCACCACCTAGAACAAGATCGACTTGCTCGTTTATGAAGAACCTTTTATCCGCCAAGACAAGGTCTGAAAAAGCTTGCTGCGTGAGTGCACTGATGTGGCACGTTGGCAAATTTCCAGTAAGTCTGGGTAAAACTAACACCATCGCTTCTATCGAAATCAGTGGATCAATGGGTGACCTGAGTTGAACTGAGCATGATTCTTTCACCTCCGCAGAAACCGCATTGTTGTTGCCCGAAACTTGGGCATGCATTTTGTTGGTCGGCAGGTTGATTCTGCGTCTGAGCCTTTCCGTAATGAAAGAACACTCAGAGCCCGAATCAATTAGTGCTCTCGCTGAGAACTTCGTGCCATTAAAAAGAATGTCTAANTCTGAGCCTTTCCGTAATGAAAGAACACTCAGAGCCCGAATCAATTAGTGATCTCGCTGAGAACTTCGTGCCATTAAAAAGAATGTCTACACGAGCTGTACCCAATAATACACCTTTGCTTGTGTTAGCGTGATGTGTTTTTACCTTATTAACAGTTTTGCCTTTGCCTTTTGTAGATTCGCGTCGCATTTGAGCCTGTCTGGATGTGGATGCTGAAGTATCCAAAGGTTCAGAAATGTCATTCCTATTTGTTGCCTTTAGTGGTGCTTTTTGAACATGTAGGAGAGAGTGACGTCGAGAATGGCAGGTGGCGCAATTGAACGAACTAGTGCATTTCGATACCAAGTGTCCAAAGGCGAGACAGTTCCAACAACAATTATTGTTTTTTACGAAAGCAACCCTGTCGTCTACGGATAATTTACGAAACCTTGGACACAGATGCATCTTATGTTCGTTACTCTGGCACATTTTGCACATATATTTAGCGACACTTGTTTGAAAAGCGCCAAGTCTCTTATGCGAGGGTTCAGAGGAATGCTTATAGTTCGAAACCTTTGGTGGTTTTGAAACCGTGATTCCTCTTAAAACTGAGACTGATTCTAGCGTTTGGAACCTATGTGAAAGGAATCGGTCCATATCTGTCCACTTAGAAAGGTCAGTTTTATTCTCTACCGATTGTTCCCACAGCGAAAGTGTCACCTCAGGCAGTTTTGTAGAACATAGGTACGTTACTATTGGGTCCCAATTTGAAATATCGATCTGATGGCTTTCTAAGGCAGATATGCAATTGTTGATATCCCTTTTCAGTCTGTTGATCGATGTTCCACATTCAGTTTCGACCGCTTTTAAGTTGAAGAGAATCTTCAATTGTGTATTGACCAGGATTCTCTTGTTTTCGTACCTATCACAGAGATGCTTCCAGGCTGTGTTAAAGCCTTCATTAGTTAAGGGACACTTGCTAACAATCTCCTTGGCCTCACCCTGCGTTTTCTGTCTAAGGTGATATAGCTTCTCTACTGGTGTAAGCCGTTTATTCAAACATGTGAACATGTCACGAAAAGTGTGTCGCAGGGTGGGAGATGTATGTTGTTTGAACGAGTTGACATGTCCTCGTTTTCTTTTTCTATTTTATCTAACCTATCACACAGATCGCTTATTTTCGACATGCAGCGCAAGAAAGCTGAGTAGCTCGTTTTATTTTTTTTCTTATTGCACTCAGATCTTTTGCAGGAAGTGACTCGGTTGTTAGAAGCTCGTCAAATAGAGCCTTGGCTTTATCCCACATAGCTTTCAGATCAGTTAGCTGAATTCTTAGCGAGTGTATTGAATGCTCATTAGTGGGCGTACTCATGAAGTCTATTTCAAACTTTATGACCGAGTCGGTTAAGCGATTGAAAGTTTCCATATTGACTTTTAATCGGTAAATACGACCTTACTAAAACTTTAAAGTCTTCGATTAGGATAAGCAACACAACAAAAGCGGACTTTCCAAACGCAGATGGTCAAAAAAGAAAAGAAAAACACTACTAACAACCCCAATTCGTTAAAGCAATGTGTACCAATCGAAATTTCCACCAAGTCAATCTCAGATTTATAAATTAAAAGTATGCAACCAATTCACTTTCTATATGTATGTATGTATGTTTATTAACACCGGTTATAAATATATAAAAAGTGCTTATTTCAAAAATATGATGTAGATATGTATATGTATTTAAATTATTGCTCGCCAACCATATGTATGTAGGTATTGTTGAAAAATATGAACGCGATTATGGTATTTTATTTCCCGCAATTGTAAAGAGCGCCTTTATTTTTTATATATTTATAGATATATGTATATGCATGTGTGAATAACTCAAAACGTGAAAGTGATTTTGTGAATTTGATTTGCTGAAGATATAACTTCTATGCAAGCGCAAGTGCCGTGAAAAGTTAGGTTATGTACACCGAATAAAAGGTGCAGTGTTATTGCTAGTGAATTAACACGAAATGCAAGCAACGAACGAATGAAAATGACTATTCAGAATTTTTCTTTATGTGAATTAATTACTTCGCTATTAATCAACGAAATTAATATTGTTGCAAGTTGTTTCACTCTTATTTGAAGTACATTACAACTTTTCGAAATGGCCGTAGCGCGCACTTTTGTATATGTGTTTGTGTGTGTCTAACAAGCAAACGGAATATTTTAACGCACTTAAGTCTCTTTACTTCACAAAATCACTCGCGTTGTTTAGATTTACACAATTTATAGCTCTCTGGCGCGAATTTTTCACAAAAAATACAGTGCAGTGAAATTTTTAACCACGTACCTTTAAAACTTTTTTTCTCAGGTGTCGAATCTGCTGAAAGCTGCTGTATGTTAGTAACTGCTGTAGGTTTTGAATCCTTAAACTGCTGCTGTGGTTAACGTATTCTCGCGGATTAGCCTGTCCTGATTGGCAAACAACTTGTTGGTGCTGGTGAGATAAACTTTTTCAGTCTCGTCGACAAAGGACCATATTCATCGGCGCAACACTTGGAGCAAGAAAATAGAAATAACTCGGTATTAGTATAACTAATAATAAGAGTGTTTATTCACTTAGAATTTTGTGTATATATATATATATGTACATATATTGGAATTACAGATTACCTTTCGAATAAAAATTTCTGGAACTTGGTGGCTGGATGTCTTCCTTCTCGGATAGTCGCTAAACGAGTAAGTAAACCGTTTTTGGTTTTATTTACGGTTGCCGGTCGAACTGTTTATTTAACGAAAGTTATGGTTGCATATTTTCTTAACATAGTAGTTAACAGATCGACGGCAACCATAATATCGTAAGTATGTTAATTAGTGAGTATTAGGGTGGGTCGAAAAGTTCTAGCAAATTTAGTCCGGGGCCTAAACAAGAGCGTAAGCCAAATGAGCATAACAGGAAAAGTAAAGGAACGCAAAAAACCACAATTTTAGTACAAAAAATGGCAACAACAAAACTAACGTCAAATAAGAATAGAAATGTATGTACAAAACACATTCACACAATCACAAGCACAATAAACACTTACTATATCAATTATTCTTTGCCTCCTTCCACTTTCAATTCACTTTTTTTTTAGTTTTTAGATTATTCTCACTTTTCGCGTATTCTTTAATTTCCATTAATTTAAATTCAGTTGACCTTGACACTTTCCAAGATTTTGCCAACAAAAATTCTTCTGACTAAATCTGACTACTTCGGACTGAAGAGAGTCAATCTCACTGAGTGTTTGTCTCTCGTTTCTGCTGTCATTTTCGAGTTAATAAACGCTTTTTTGACTAAATCTATCCGACTATTTCTGTCTATTTCTGGGAGACAAGGAACGCAACTAATATGGCAAACAGAGTAGTATTCGCAGAAATACCGCCACACACACGCAAAAGCACGAAACGCAGCTGCATAGCAAGATCTATGGTCACAACTCATTTCATGCTCGCATTTGTCTTCATTTTGGCGACAGGCGGTCGCGCGGTTAACGGTGTCTTGGTTTTTTTATACGTTTTTGAGCGTTAAGTGATCAGTACAAAAATTTAAGTCCAATGGGCCATCGTAAGACGATTGAACAGCGAGAATTGGTCATAAACCATTTCAAAAATGTAAAATCGCAGCGAGAAATTGCTGCATTGGTTAATTTAATAATTTAGCGCTTCGTTCATGAAAATCGGATACGATATAAAGGCCGAAATGCACCAAATAAAATTTTCAATGAACGTGACGAGCGTATATATATCGGCTCCTAAACTAACCACAGAGCTTCAGCTGGAACTAGGAAAATCATTTTGCGTCGAAACTGTGCGGCGGGTGCTACGTGCACATGAGTTCAAATTAGCACAAAAAAAAAACAACTAAGCCGAGTTGCCTTTGTCAGGGAGCTGGAAACTAAGGATTCAGATTTCTGGAAGACAGTAATTTTTTCTGACGAGTCAAAGTTCAATCTTTTCGGTTCTGATGGAGTGACTTACGTTTGGCGGAAACCCAATACCGAGCTCCAGAAAAGTAACATCAAGCCAACTGTAAAACATGGTGGTGGCAGTGTTATGGTATGGGCATGTATGTCCGCAGCTGGCGTTGGAAATTTAGTCTTTGTTGAGGGTATTATGGATAAAATAATGTGCCTAAATATATTAAAAGATAACCTGCTTCAAAGTGCCGAGAAACTTGGAATACATCGAAATTTCCGTTATTACCAAGATAACGACTCAAAACAAAAATCGGCAATCGTGCAGACCTGGCTGATATGGAACTGTCCACATTTAATGAAACCACTGCCCAGTCCCCAGACATAAATGTGTTTGAGAATTTATGGTCGTTGTTGGAGAATAACATCCGCAAATATCAAGCAACACAGAGCAGCTGAAAAGTTCAATTTTGGAAGAGTGGAACAAAATCGAACCAGAAACCACGAAAAAACTAGTAGAGTCAATGCCACCTAGGCTTAAAGCTAAAAGCACACTAAATATTAAATATATTTTATAATTTATCTAACTTATTTTTAGAAAAAATGCGCTGCATGAAATAAGCTGTAACATAACATTTGGTAATGTTTTTAGTTTTTAATTCTTAATTTGTTAAACAACCGACAAATAATAAAAATGAAGTTGCTGTTTAAAACTACCCTTTCATTTCAACAACTTGGTGTTTAAATTGCATCGATACACGTTTTGGTTTTCATAACACAGCACTGGAAATTTTAATACTTTACCTGTATGAAATAAGTTGTGAGCCACTGTACATTTAGGTTTTATATTTGTTCTGTATCTGGAAATTTTTGCAAAATTATTTGGAAAATTATACACACTTATATAAGAAAGCACACCTGCTTTCGAACGAAGTAGTATTTATATCTAGTATTGCAAGAA